GTGGATGGGAGGTCTGTCCTACTGCGGTGCGGTGATCCATTCATTCAGTGTGCCACCTAACATTGAATCAGATTCGCTGTGTGGATGGGAGGTCTCTCCTCCTGCGGTGCGGTGATCCATCCATTCAGTACGCCACCTAACATTGAATCAGATTAGCTGTGTAGATGGGAGGTCTCTCCTACTGCGGTGAGGTTGCCGATCCATTCTCTCCTCGAGTCGACTCCTTAACATTGATTTGGTTGTTGGTTCTTATTCGTTTGAGCGCAAAGAAGGTCGTGATATTATTAAGAAGGCTGAGGTGGTGTAGTCTTAATGCTCTATTAAAGTATGCGTACAGCCAAGGGTTGGTTGCGCTGTTTACGTTCCAAACCAAATAGCTGAATACCTTGGCGTGTGACATACTTTTTGACAAATATTCATAAATAAAGTCAAGGTACACACACACCTCTTGTGGGAGCCAACATATGATAAAGTTAGTCACTATGGCAACCATTGCCGTGGTAACGCGCTTGTTGATGGCCACATTTTGTGAGTTGCTTCCTATAGCTGTTCTGTTCCATAGTTTATTGTAGATGAGGGAGTACAATGTGCACATGATTGCGATAGGTGCAGAAAAGAAAAGAAATGTTTTTAATGTAGCGTACGCTACTATTGTGCTGACAGCTACTGGGCCAAGAACAGATTTGTAATAACAGTAATAATTGCCGTCGGCGAAGAGAGTGTTCTTTTGTTCTATGTAGGTGATTATTGGTAGTAAAATCGATACTATCCAAGTAACCAGGACAAGTTTTCTTTTGTGAGTAGCAATTGGTGATCTCTTGGTAGGGTAGTATACGGAATAGAATCTGTCGATTGAGATAAGCACCAGAGTAATAATAGATGCAGTTAAAGTCACATTTTTTGAGTAAGACAAGAATTTGCAGAAGAAATCAGCAAAGAGTCCTTGAAACCACCTTCTACYGACGAATACTGAAGCTATCCTGTAAGGACAGCTCAAGAAGGTGGTGATAAGGTCCGCACTCGAAAGATTTAAGATGAGGAAGTTAGTCGTTGTTTTAAGTGTAGGGTTCCTCCTGATAGCGTAGATGTTCATGATGTTACCCGCAAGTGATGTGGGAATGATGACGGCATAGGCGACCGTTAAACAAACCACGGCGACTGGATCGAGATGAGGAAGAAGAATATATGGAACAACTGCTGCGGTAGTGTCTGCGAACAAAAGGATTTTGGTTTTAAATTGATGCGTCTATGGCTAAACATTTATTTAACTTTTAACATTTGATGTGTTTATGGTTAAAAGATTTTAAGAACTAGATTTGCTCGTGGCTAAACATTTATCAATTTTTATAAGATAACCGAACTGTATTGCGCAATCCTGTTTAGGCTGAAATACTATTTTAGATGAGAATGAATATTTTCCGCGCGCGCGCTCTGAATTTGCACATCCATACAAAAAATAAARCAGTATTCAGTTTGTCAATTAGTGCACTTTAATACTTAGGATGCTTAAATGTTAAAGTACCCCTCTTTACATGTTCTCTTGGCATCCCAAGTGTTTAGTAAAACTGTTTTATAATTCCTAAATTCATCTGTCCATCCTTTCTTCATATCCATCCGCCTATCCATCTCAACCATCCATCCATCCATCCGTCCAAACCATATCAACCAATCTATCCATTTGTCTATTCATTCATTCATTCATTCATTCATTCATTCATTCATTCATTCATTCATTCTACCTTATCCTATCCTATCCTTCCACTCTTTCTTTCATTCACACATTTATCCATATCCATCCACCCATTATTCGTCCATCGTTCTTCCATCCATCTTTACCCTAAAATTTCAAACTTCAATATTGTGAGATTATATAATGTGTCCTTGACGTCTCATACGAGACCTTGGAAGTTCAGTGGTTAAAGCATGGCACCGGAATCGCCAGGGCACAGGTTCAAATCGCGTTCAAGACTCAAAATCATTTCTGAATCTTTAAATTTGCAGCTGCCTAAAATGCTTGATAAACTGAGCGGGATCAGCTTAATCTGATACATATTAAAGATTCTCAACTAAGATAACTTCGACAGGCTTTCAATCTACATGCATTATGTATATTTTTGTTCAATTCGTGTCATTACGCCTGAAGTATGGAGACTGATTGGTGTATTGAACGCATCTTGAACTGAATATTGGACCTAATGATCTGATGTTTAACCACATCCATTACCGTCTTTTCCTGTGTTAGGCAGTTGTCAGATGTCTTGGCTTTACGTAAGTAGAAGTGATAAAAGGATTGAATTTGAACAAGTCACTTAAACTACGAAAATAGGAGTTCTTGATGATGCGCCTTGTAAATAATTTTATAAACTTAGCTTTGTATGACCAGCAAATTTATCTTGAACCCTAGTAATACGACCAGCAAGAAATTTTGTAGCCTTGGTAATACGACCAACAAGTAATCTTATAGCTTTCGTATTACGACCAACTATTATCTTACAACCTTCATAATACGACCAATAACTAATCTTAAGATCTCATTTTCACAACCACAAAGTTATTTTATGGCCTTCCCAATACGACCATTTTGAAGTCTTATAACCTTATCAGTGCGACCTGCCAGTAATCTTACTCATCTTATAATTCTGTTATTACGACCGACCAACATCTAAATCAGCGAAAAAATCTCCGCAAAATATTTGGCTACAACGCGGATATAAATAAATAATGTAAAAAAATATTTGAAATGAATTGTAAACGACTGTAACTTGATCTAAAATTGATCGACGCGTAATGACAGCAATCTTTTTTGTTTATTCACATCTTCGTCAAAAAAAAAACGATCAAAGTTATATTCAATTTTTTTGGTTTCCTAACACTTCAAGTTTAAATTCCTTACAAACTAAAATACTGACTCATTTATTTTTGGTTATTTATCGTAAAATCTATAAAGAAAATTGGTTTGAAACAAAAAATCAAAATGTACAACTAAAACTAGGAAAGACGTATAACTAACAAGATACCGAGGACTAAACAAACACTGAGATAAAACGTCTTACCATTCATGCTCTTCTTTAATGAAGTTTCTGTTGAATTTGACACTTGTTCTCCCATACTCCCTTCGACGACTAGTTTTAGAAGAGAGCGAAAATTTTGGCTACGCAAGGAACGCTGAAAACCTAGAAAGACTGAGGTAGGTCTGCTAGTACGTTGTTGATAGAATCCCATAGTTCGTCGATTATATATGCGTTCTGATTGGCTAGAGATGACATAACGATCTAATGTGTTCACATTTCACATGTAATCGGATGTTTTTGAAATTGAATCTCATGAAAAAACATTTGTGAAGATGTCTTAATTTTTGTTTATTTTACAAAATTTCTCTCGAAAACCAATATTGTGATTCGTGCGATATGGGTTTTTGAATGAAATTCAACTTGGAATTCCCTCGTCAGCCAATGAATTTCCCTACAGAATGTGTACTGAAGGTTTCTGGCTGTCATCATATCATGCAGAGTGTGTCCCTAACCATATCCGAACAGGTGTAGTAATGATCATGACAGACACACTGATATAGTTCGTGATATATCAACTATATTCATCCAAACTTTCAGAAATATATGCCTTATCAGTCAATCTACTAAAATCCCTGGAGTTAGTAAAACTACAGTATTTCATCGTGTAGGAAAATGCGTAAATTTGAAGTTTGAAGTCATAAAAACTATCCCGGTAACACAATAAAACGTTTCACTCGAATCTTGTTTTTAATTTTTTTTCTTAATGAAAGTTATGGCGATTAGTGATGATGGATTTTTAAAAGGGAGCAATACTTTGCTTTATATCGGTCCTCATGTTCAGCGTCCTCAAAATTCATTATATTTTAAGGTTGTTTAAATCTAACGTTTTTTATACGATCGTCATTATATATGTATATAATACGTGGGTGCGAATTTAATCAGATGAACATACAGGATTCCCTCGACAGACGAAAAACTAACTTTCATCAATATGCTGAAATAACATATGGGCAGATCAAAGTCAGGACATGGCTAACTCACAGAACGAGCCGTAAAACAACCTCTGGGCAGATCAAACTCAGGGCATAGCTAACTCACAGATCGAACCCTGGAACAACCTCTTGGCTGATTAACACCCTCTCAAATCAACGGAGAGACCTAACAAACTGTACACGGCATGTAATACCGAGTTCATCGAGAACACAAACGTGAGTGATGAATGGCAAGTGCACTCTACCGCTACGCCATCCTTGATGATTTTCGTGAAGAAGTTCACCGCATTCATTAAGTGACTCTTGTACTAAATATACAACACTTAGGTTTGGCCGCGTGTTCTAATATCAGTTACATAACATCATCAGCACCTGTGATGTGCCAGCGTCTTTATCCCGCTTGATGAAGTATTTGTTCCTTTTCGCGATTAATCGTCTCGTTCTTCAGGCTACGCGACTCGTGCAGTTCAAGCAAGATTGCGGAAACACCTGCGATCAGAAACTTTTAATCAAGACTGTAACAGAAAAATAATTTGATTAATCTACTGCTGCGAAGTATACAACAAAATACAAATCTGTTTGTAATGAAATTGTGGACTGTAATAAATATTCGAGTGGTATGAAATTCAAATCCTTACCATTTCGGACAAGTGGTCGACGAACACGTCATACTTTACACTCAAGCTACAGAAACCTCCACTGAATATCCAAGAGGATCTTTTGAAGAACCTCTTTCTGTCCACGTATTCAATACCAGAATGGAACTCTTTAGATTTGATTTTAAGTTATTGTAAGATTTTTAGTACTTACTTCAATTGAGATTAACTAAAAGCTTATCCACTATAGTCACAATATTATGACTATCTAAGACCGCTATCATGCGACTGTGTATTTTATCTCATAAGGGAGTTTTATGCAGTATTTCAATTTAGATTTAGAAGATTAATTAATTGGTGGTCGGTAAAAATTTAAAGTGGCTTAAGTTGATAGCACTTAGTTGGTTGGAATCAGGAAATGTCAGCGAAGTGAGTTAATCATTTACGATTATTTGTAAAGATAAAAAAAAATCAAATGAAATCAGTCACTCTAGGAAGAAAGAAAGAGAAAAAGAAAGGAAGGGAAAAGCTGAATGAACGAATGAATAAATGGAAGTAAGAACAGAGGGACGGATTGGAGAAGATTGATAGATGGGTGGATGGAAGGGATTAGATGGAGAAATAAATGGAAGATGGATAGAATAGGATAGGATGATTGATGGGTCAATGTGTATATAGAAAGACCGGGGCAAAATGTTTTACGACCTACAAAAGGCAGGATCAAAAATTTGCTTAAGTAATTTGTTGGTTTCTTAAATTAGCTGACCAAAATGAACGCGGGCGCAAGCGCAGACTTTTAACGTGATGTGGCGCATGCGCGTTAGAGACAGCACACTGACCAAAATTTGCTTCAAAAATTTATATTTGATATAAATTAAAAATTTTTGAGTTCTTGCTTACAATTTTTTTTTCTAGAAAATTTTTATTTACGACAATAAAATTTATTCTCAGATTAATTGTTTGTTTATTTATTTATTATTTTTACAAATGATTTTTGTTATCACACAGTATACAATTTTCTTTTTATGTGAAACGTACTGTGGACTCAATATATAAATAAAAATTGCACGTGCTATACTGTCAAGAAGAATACTTTTAAAGTCTACACAGTTAGCTTTAAATAAAATATATAAAATCTATTGGCAAAGTTTATAACTTTTTATGATCACTTATTTGATAATTATAGTCTTTTTGTTTAGTTTAGTTTCGCACAGCTTCAGTGTAAATAAGTAGTTAGCTTTCTGAATTCTATTTGAAATAAAGTTATTATTATTATTATTATTATTATTATTATTATTATTATTATTATTAT